CAGCACTTTTTTGTCATACGCGCTCTGTTAGGCCCCCAAATGTAACTCGGCCCTCCTCGCCTCGGGAAATTCCCCCTGAGCACGTGTCACTGAAGCCGGGTCAGTGAGGGGGAGATGCTTCTTGCTCTCCTCGCTCAGTTTTGAGCAGGGAAGTCATTTCTCCCCCGACAATCATTTGCACGGCGCATTCTGACATTGCTCTTTCCCCTCTCGAGGTTCCTTCCCTACCACCTGCTCGTCCCAACACAGACCTGTTGTTTCCGCTCACCTATTCGCATTCGCTGCCTATGCTTCCGATCAAGCTGCATCCGGAAGCATGGGCTTCTGCGCTTGCAGAATATCCAGACCAGGCTTTCGCGGAAACCTTGGTGTCTGCCATCCGTCGCGGTGTTCTTTTAGGTGTTGATCTGGACCACGCTCCCCTTCCTTCATCCTCTATCCCTCCTCCTCTCCCTTCCGCCCTCAAATTCCCTGCAGCTAACAAGGATCTGCAGCACGAGATTTCCCTCTCAGTTGGATCATTGACATCACGGACAATGCTAAAACTATTCAGCCTCTTCTTTCCCCGCTCGGCTCTGTTCTGAAGAAGTACAGCACAAAACGACGTCGCCTTCACCACCTATCCCATCCACATGGGTTCTCTTTCAATGATGCTATCCCTGTTGAGTATGGCCACCTCGTGTATGACACAGTTCTTGAAACCATTGCGCGCATCCGCGGCTGCTTTCTTTACAAAGCATCCTGCTCACACCCACTTTATGGGCTTCGAGTGGAAGGGCCGCCTTCATCTTGACATTTTCCTTCCCTTCGGTGTTTGCATGGGCCTACTACGTATTTACAATTATTTTGCCGAAGCTCATCATTGGATCCTGCTGTCTCGCGACGAGGTCCTACGGCTGATACAACATTACCTCGACGAGTGGCTCAATGTCATGCCTGCATCGCGTGGAGTCGAGTATGCACGTCACGGCCGGGCGATCTTTTGTACTGTGGCACATGAACTCAGGTTTTCCTTATCCAATGACAAGGAGGAGGGTCTGACCCATTGCCTCGAGTACCTCGGCATCGAGTTCGACACTGTTGCTATGCAGGCTCGTCTTCTGAGCGATAAACTGTCGAGGCTTCTGGTCCTCCTTGCAGGTTGTCTGGCTCGCGGGTCTGCCAGCCACCTTGATCTCGAGGAATTGTGCGGGCATTTGGTCTTTGCCCAGTCGGTCATTCTGGTTGGCAAGTTCTTTACCCGCCGTATTCGCGATTTTATGTGTACTCTTATCACTCTCCCTCGTCGTCAACACCGCCGTCTTCCTTCTCCCGCCAAACTCGATATTGTTTGGTGGAATTCTTTTCTCCCAACTTTCAATGGGATCTACGTGATTGCACCTCCTCGGCCCACAGCCGAGATGTTCACGGATGCAAGTGGTAAGCTCGGTTTTGGTGGATATTGGGGCGGTAGCAATGCGTTCTTTGTGGATAGTTTTCCTTCGCGCAGCCACCACCTTCCTATACATTGGAAGGAGATGTTTGCGGTGCTACAGGCTGCGCGATTGTGGGGCATTTGTGGACGGGTTTGGAGATTGTTCCGAATCGACAATGAAGCCATTTCGACATGTCTTCGAACCGGTTCTATTGATCACCCATCAACTCAAGCTCTATTTCTCGAATTCGCTCTTCTCGCTGCGACCGCCGATTTCACCTTCTGGCCTCGGTGGATTTCCACCCACGACAATGTGGTTGCCGATGCCCTTTCTCGCTTCCATTGGCTCACCTTGGCCAAATTGTTTCCTCACTGGCCCCTTCCTAAATCTGGCACTCGTCCTGCCCGTGTTTCTGTCACACCCTCTGCTCTTCCCTACCCTTCTCTCTAGGTGTTTTCTTGGGAGCCTGTGGCGCTCTCGCCATTTTCTCTCCCCCACCTACGGCTGGTCGATGGCGAGCCCCTCTCGTTGTGGCCTGCCTCGGCTCTCCCGCTTTGGCGGAGTGTTGCGCGCTCCAGCGGAGCCCTCGCCCAATAAAATGCACCGGCTTTCTGACTCATCATCTCCTCAACAAGAGCGACGGTGACGCGACCCGGCCAATCCTCACGGTGACTAGAGAGACATAGAGGTCGAAGCGAGCCCACGGTGACGGTAGATGCCTTGGACAGCTGTACCCGAGCAGTTATGTTAGCCTTTTTTGATAATGATGGTCTAGGTGTAGGTTGAAGGTTGAAATGCTGTAAAAGTAAATTGGGACGTGGTTAGGTTGGGGTAATTAACTTCGGCAGAGTTCGGCGCGTTCGCGCAAGCATTTGAAGGCGCTACAAGGGAATTTGAGGCAGTTTAGCAAAAGTAAGTAAGAATGGAGGAAGCCCAGGTGTATTAAACGAATGTATCAACTACATAAACATATTTACAACTCTGTTTCTGCATGTGTGCGAAGGGGACCGACCATTCGATGCCCCGGCATCTCAGGTCGGCACACTAAAGCCTCGTTCGCGCTTTTCTGCTGATCTTCACCCTAACCGAACCAGTCGTGGTGGGACGACAATGATGATACCTGGAGTTAGGGCGCGCGCGCGCTCCGCTTGCCCTAACTCCTCGAAGGCGGGGACAGGTGTCGCCAACGGCGTGCTTGATCAGCGTTGGTGTCTGGCGGGCGGGCAGCGGGCGAGCAGGGATGGGGGGAAGAGGAAAGGAGCGGATGTGGTTGACAGCGGCATGGGTTTATTTGGTGGATGCGCATCCGAAACCTGCCGAGAACAAATATGTTTTGTATGCCGGTGACCCGGCTACAGAATGGGGGAGCTTGCATGAATCTCAGTCTCAATCTTTGGGCACTTCGTACTACTAGTCTTCGAACACATACTGACTAAGATCCATACCATACCTATCTAATGTAAACCAATCTAATCCCTACGTACAGAGTTTTCTTCCAGCATTCTCGTTAGTTCCATGACATTCGGCCTCTTCAATCGGTTCCATGGGAAAGCAGTTCGAAACGCAATGCCGAGCTTATTTGAACATCAACCAGATTACACTCGAAATGAGAGAAAACTTACGTTCTCCTCCCGGAGTCCGAGGAAAGATCTCATCCCATTTCCCATTTTAAATCTCTTCGACAGTAGGAAGATATATATGTGCAGCTGCCTGGGCGACATCAGTACGGATCTGTTGTCCTCTACTGCATATGATAGACTAACGGGGTAACGGGTCAAACGAATATTTCACCCGAATGGGAACATTTCCGGACAATCTGAGTTGAGCATTATTCTGGGTAGTATCTATTGCTATCAGAAACAGATTTTGGGGATCATAGAGCAAGTTCTGAGAGAGAAATGGGATGGTTCTTGCCAAATTACTATTTTGGGTGGTCATCAGATCTCTTCTCCCTCTTTCCTCGACAACCGCTGAAGATGCTTGTGGATGCTCTGGTATTTCATTACAGTAGTGAACCAAGACTCTGGGTGGATCTGAAGTTCAGGAATCCATGTTTTAATGTGTCAACAGATGGTTGACCTGGTACCCCAGAATTGGTGGTTTCGGACACAATTTATTCATGGTACTACCACTCATGTAAATACCGGCGGACTTTCTCGATAATCCATTGAACGACTTGTTTATTAAGTATACTGTCTGCTCAGACTTCTTGTAGCTACCCTGGATGTGAAGATATTTGACATTCATTTAAATTTGACCCGTTACTACATCACATGCAGTAAGACGGGCTCGACAAGCACAATAGGCTGCCTGGCCAAGTTTTGGCTCTTCCACCATGACCTAAGCACAAACTAACAGGTATCTCACAAGTGCTGAGAATGTATTTACCAGAGCAGTCACAGTCAGATATTGAAGCTCAGTACCTAAAAAGAAAACAAAAAATATTGTTGCCTCTAGATAGACCCAGATAGCTCCTGAAAAAAAAAAGGTTGCTGCTACCAGATAGACCCACATAGGATAGGAACCAGAATAGCAAAGGAAAGCCCAATACTGGACGATGAACATCCGGAAGCGTAGTGAAAAGAGGACAAGATCCGCTGATTGGTCTGTCGAATCAGGTTTGGTACTATAATAGGTACTGTAATCCATCAATCTCCGACGCCAGCCAGACACGATGCCGTGCACAAGTTCAACTCGGACGGTGGGTAGTTCTATTTCATTCTTTCATCTTTGAGTCTTCGTCAAGTTCAACTCCAACGGTGGGCACTTTAAATTTATTCTCTCATTTAAGCGGTGATCACGGGACAAGAACCAAACACGAACAACAATCAGTCGTGCATTGCACAGCCATCCGGATTTGGGGCTTAGTCGGGAGAATTGGGGTCGCACCCCAATTACCCGATTTGGGTTGCCACGTTGAGGCAGAAACTTAGCCTTCTTCGCGAGACCTGAAAGGAAAGGAGAGAGAGAGCGAGTTTGGGATCAAATGTATATTTGGGTCCGAAAGCTCTCGAGTCGATCGTGGATCAGACTCAAGCCAACTACGAGGGACAGTATGTAAGGAGTAGATAAGTAGAATGAAAATGATATAAGAAATTGGAATAGGGACGGAGGGTGGGGTCAAAATATCGTATGCGACGACAATAATCTAGGTAACTGCGAGTGCAGTGTGAGACGCGGAGAGTAGAGAGTAGGAATGGAGGCTTACCTGCGAGTGCAGTGTGAGACGCGGATGTCTACTGCTGCAACTCGCAGGTTCTATATACTGCGAGGAGAGGATAAAGGGATAAAGGGATATTTAAGCGACGTCGAGAGGATGAAAGTAAGCGAGCGGGGTGAGAGTCCTGGGAGACAGCTGAAAGTAAGCGAGAAACACGACGCGCGAGTCGTGTCGTATCTCGCGCGTCGCGTCGGAGAAATGAGGCCGGTCGTGGCTTGTTTGCTAACCACGGGCAATCCCTACACCACCACATATTGCCCATCCATGACATCTCGACAGCATCACGTGAGTTTCAGGTGACCTTCCACATGACTTTCTGTCAAAAGCTGTGCTCATCGTCCGTTGATGGAACCAAAAAGACAAATAGCCCACCGCGAGGGTCGAACTCGCAGCCTTCAGATGCCCCACTGCCTGAAAGACTCGTAAAAGTCTGACGCTCTATCCGATTGAGCTAGGCGGGCCTTACAGACGGAGGGACGTGTGGAGATTAGACAGCGCGCGATTCTGAGCTAAATCGGTCAAATAACGTTGTAAATCGAATAACAGATGGGCGAGATACGGCAAAAATGGTGTTTAACTTGATTCTGGCGGGTAAGCAAATACAGTACGCGGACAGGACCTTGGGAGCGGGACGTCTGCGGGGTCTTTGACATGTTGTAGAGTAGAGACACGTCGTCAACCAAGCATGTATACAGGGAAAACAGCGTAGACCGGGGGGACTCCCGAACTTTCATCGGTAGTTGTCCGTTCACTCGCAATTCTTGGCACACCACCTAACTCGTTACACTGGTATACAAAAATACATAGATGAAAGCAACGTCGACGCTCAAACACCAACCCTGTGTACCGATTTTTTCTGTTGATGGGACTAGTCAGACGCTGCGATATACACTGCGGCCAGAGTACTGACCTGACCCGAGAATCGTATTATCTCGCTTTTCTCCATGACAAACAACGTCCGCTCGAGTGCATGGCTCGAATATCCCTGTTGGGTGACGAATTCACGGACAAGACTCTGATAGCTTGTGCTCCAGCCAACAGGAAGTCGCCTCCGCAGTTCCCGTTCTATTTTGATCATTTCTTCGTTCAACTCTCCTCGAGAGAGACCGTCGGCAGAACCGGCAGAGACTGCGTCCATCGTAGAGAACTTGAAAAGCCGAATGGCTTCTTCCACATGATGATTTTGGACAACGGTCGAGAGGGTCATCTTCGCCAGCGACTCCGATATACGGATAATGGCTTCAAGCTGTCTGCACGTCGGATTTAATCACCCCAAAACTGGAATTCGAAAAGACAACGTACCGCACAGTAATCGGGATGGAACTCCGTTCGTCGTTATCCCGCTCTACTTGCTGCACTTGTTTGCGCAAACTGACAAAGTGACTGCTTAACATCTCCTGCGCCTCGGCTGATAATCGCGGGGCACATTTGCTAATTGACCGATGTTCAGCCACCAACCCAGGCACGGCAGACACGGGCGTACCTTTTGCAGTATGCTATGTACCGTTTCATGACGTCAAGACTGAGCTCGCCCACGGCCTTGTCGACGTTCTCCTCTGGTCGATTCATCTGAGTGTTCATAACATGTCTGGCGATCATCTGAAATAGGCATTTGAGTGAATGTTTGCAATCAAGACAGATAACTGACCTTGTCTCGTTGTTCGTTATGCTCGTCCTTTACAATGAATATCATGTCGAACCGCGACAAGATAGTGGTCTGGAAGTCGATATTCTAGAGCCCCATGTCAGGAGACGTCCGAAAGTAATTTAAACTCCTGTACCTCTCCGGGGCTTCTACCTTCGTCATATCGACCAAAGACGGGATTTGCGGCGGCGAGGACACTAGTGCGGGAGTTTAAAACCGTCGTAATGCCAGCCTTGGCAATGGATATAGTCTGCTGCTCCATGGCTTCATGGATAGCCACACGATCCTCATCTCGCATCTTGTCAAATTCATCGATACACACTACACCGGTATCAGCCAAGACCATGGCACCTCCCTCGAGGTAGAATTCGCGCTGCAAACCAATCAGATGGGTTTGTGAATGAATACACACGACTTACAGAAACCGTATCTCTCTGAACAGAAGCAGTGAGACCGGCCGCACTAGAACCTTTCCCAGACGTATAGACGGCAATGGGCGCCACCTGGGCATCGTAAGATTGAAAATACCATCAGACGGGGAAAACGCCACCTTTTCTACGAACTTGAGAAGTTGACTTTTGGCCGTTCCTGGGTCACCCAATAGCAGAACGTTAATGTCTCCTCGGAGTCTCATGCCATCGGGAAGAATCTTCTTGGATCCGCCGAAAAGAAGACATGTAATCGCCTTTTTGATGTCTTGAACTCATCTCAGAACGACGACTAATTGAGAGGGAGGGCAAAAACTCACCCAGACTCCCATAGATACTTGGTCCGACACTCTTGGAAAATCTTTCGTAGAAGCCTTCACTCCTTGCCATTGCTCCAAACTCTTCCTCTTCTTCGGGTGTGAATTGGACGCCGAACGGATTGGAACCAGAACCGCTTGTTGGCCCCGAGGATAATTCCAGGTGGACGACACGCAGGTAGGGTTGGCGCAGAGCTGCAGCACCTGCATTTTTCTGGGGAGCGACGTCAAGAGCCGCATAGATAGTTCGTAAAAAGACGCACATTTTTGCCCGACTGGAAAGTCGAGTATATCCCAGTTGCAACAACTCGCGACCCGGGAACCACTTTCCCCGTCAAAAATCTATCGACAGACAAGAGCATATGTCTAGGCAGCTCTCCGACCGGAACCATATCTGGAGCCTCTTGAAGTTTCAGAGTTTGTTGATCGGCGAAAGTGGATTTGGAATGAACAATGAGGTAGGGATCGATGGGACAATCGTTCTTTGCCCCTCCGGCTGCAGGCGCGTCGCAGAACCGTGGCAACCCTCGATCCGAACCCCCACCAACTCCGCCCATACCACCAGAGGGATATATATCCTTGGTTGATCTACAGGAACGGCATTGGAGGTGTAATTTGGTTGCCCGGGAGGATAAAACTGAAGCAGATATGACGATCCCGGGGATGCGCACGAGTTTGTTCATGGTGTTCGCAGTGAGCTCGCGGAATTGTAACATGTTGAGCCCCGAGCGAAGGTTGATTTGAATGCCGGGAATGGCCTCTGCAGCATCGTCCGCGTTCTTCTTTTTCTCCGTGTCCGTTTGACCGACGCTTACGAGTGGAAAGAGGATTGAACGGGCAGCTTTGGTGGCTGCACTTTCAAACTGAGCGGAGAGTGAGAGCGGGACACGAAATAGCACCGATGTCACGTACCAGGGGCAGCGTGTCAGCAGGAGTGTCCTGAATCGAGTGGGCCAACTCGTCGTTGTATAGGCTGACATGTCGGAGATCGACTTCCAGGATACGCTGTTTCAGAAGCAGATTGGCTCTCAGTTTATCTCTACGCGTCATGGTCAACAGGGGATCTCTAAGACTCGCGACGGTCCTACCTGTAGATGAACTCGCCACCAAGGCGATACTGGAGCAGAAAGTCGAGAAGAAGTTTTTCAGTCTCGGAAGGGGAGTCAGGGGAGACGGCAGGAGGAGCATCATGGGCAGCAACGGTGAAAACGGCGTTGGCGTCGAAACCAGACATTGTGGTGGGAGGCAGGATAATTGACGCGTTCAGTCACATCAAGTCACGCCGCGATGTCACGTTCACTGGCTTCGTGTCCGACCAACGTACCGGCGCCTTGAGAACAGCCTTGGTCCCCATGTGTGCTCAAATTTCGTTTCCCTTGCATTTGGTTCGATTACAATACAAAAAGAGCTGGTATCTTAAAAGCGTCTTTCATAGAGATATAAATGTAAAGATATTCGGGATTGAGCTGTCTGGAACCTGCTCTTGCAGTTTATACATTGAAATTGCAGAGAAAGTAAAGCAGTCGGAGCTACTATCGAGTACCTCAAGGTTGCCTGCAGAAAGGAATCTGCCAGTGAGAGAGGGCCAGTCTCATTACCAAGGCAAGCCGACGTTGTATAAGCTCGGAAGAGTCTCATCTGAAGATCAGTGTCTCCCTTTATTGAAATCCTCGCTTGGGGGACGCGGCAGAAATGGACTTCGACGAAACGGCCGGCTTTAGGGAATCTTGCGATTGAAATTTTGAAAACTGGCGAAGGCGAAAAACGAACGAACGGGCAATTTTCTAAATTTCTGTACATTTCTCCAGGACTGTGAACCGAACGAACCCTCGAGTGGCCGAAGCAAAGGTCTGAACTGTGGTGGTGGTTCAAAGTTGGATTTCAGTGACAGCACAGCATCACCGACTAGAGTCACACAACACCGCGTTCTTTGAATCGACGATGAGCGCAATGGACACTGACGAACCCCCGGTCGTTCTCTCCTCATCTACAACATCTGGTCTCTCACTTTCTTTGTGCGTATCTTCTATCAGGTCCAAAGCGCGCCTCTGAACGCACGGTTTCCAGGCATCCTCTCCCCATCCTCAACATCTCAGAACACTTGACGAGATTAAAATTGCAGACTAATTCCAACTCTCCCTTCGGTCCGTATGCTTCTGGCACGGGTGGCCGAGAGTCCTCACTGATCATGCTCTAGTCTTGGGAGCTCTCCTGGGGACGCAAACTGGCCGCGAAGTTGAGATTGTCAATACATTTGAACTCGCCGTCGAAACCGGAGGCGAGCTGGTAGACCACGGGTTCCTTGTCTCCAGACGCGATCAGTGTGAGCGCTTCACCCTGTTCATGTCATTAATCGCCATTCCGACGACGATCCTTTCCAGACAAACAGGTGTTTCCTTCACTCGAGTTTATTGGGTGGTACACCGTCGCCGCGCGACCCACCGCGCGCCACATTGCGTTGCATGAACAAGTACGTCCTCTCGATCGCAATGCCTGTGCAGCAGCTTGCTTACCTCGCGCGGGCAGTTTACAGGGTACTGCTCAACGCCACTGCTGCTCATCCTACAGCCCTCGATCACCCTCGTTGCAACCTCTGATGTCAACGCCCAGAACCTGCCCTTCAAGGCGTACGAGCCTACAATAGAACTGCGAGATCGCAAATCTCGATCGGTGTTCATCGAAGTTCCGTACAACGTCGAAACGGGCGAGGCTGAGCGCATTGCTGTGGATTGGACAGCGAGGGGCGGAGGAAGCGGCACCAGCTGTGAGCACAGGCCCGCTATCCTTTCACAGCGTCGGCGCTAACACGCACGCATGACCAGTGGAGTCGCATCTTCAAACGCAACGCGCGGCTGTGAAGATGTTGCACGACCGAATCATGGTCCTTGTCAAATATGTGGCTGATGTCGTTGCGGGTAGGCCATTCTTCTCATCGAGTACGCATACAGTTATTCTAACCACAATTACAGAACAAGCGCCGAAAGACCACGGCACGCTGCGGGCGCTGTCTGCTTTGATCGCATCCTTGCCTGCCACAGAAAACAACGCGTTCCGTGCAGAGTTCGAGACTG